GAGAGGAGGAGAAGGGAGAGTACTGGGGTGTTGATGGGAATTATCCACCTTGATGTTGCAATATATGCAAATCTGCGCACCGTTTTGCGCCACTTGGGTTAAGTGTATCCACATATATTAATCCAGAGGTGTGTCATCTTTTGGTATAATCTTGTTAATTAGGCCTGCATCATTTACAGGATGATTGGCACCTCCCACCATGATGTGATAGCGGTGTTAGGCTACATTGCACGGAAATGTACGACATTTGTTCCGTTTACTTTCCTAAGACAGCGGTTCATTCTCTGGCTCAGCAATCCGAAGATTATAGGCCTCCAGAACATTTTTACAGATGGGTGCCGGAAACGTTAAAAAGAGGCAAAAATCCGCCTGGAAACAGCCAGTAATATCATTCACGATGACACCCGTTTTCCCTTCCCTCCACATGAATGTTAGAAGCTGCGCCGCGAATTCCCTCGTAACCTACAGGCCTGACACAGTTATTCTGTCTTTGCGTAAATGATTTCATCATGCGCATTTATCATTACCCTTATGAGCATGGACGCTGAGAAACAGAAGGCTCTGACACGCACGATGGTTGAATCAGTCCAGTAAGTCAGGGTGAGAGACAGCGCTGCTGCAACAGCAGTGGTTATTCTGCCTGCGAGGTTTGTGGGGAAAAAGGAGGCAATGTGTGGTTTCTTTCAGCATGAGAGGACTGGATGAATCCACATGATGGATGAGAGGAAATATCAGAACCTGGATCCCTTCATCCATTCATCAGGTCATTCAGTACCATCCAGCTGCACTTGAATCTTCACATCATCTAAAAGTTAGTCCAGGGAGGCTGTGGGGACATCCTGTTATCTCATGCTAGTTATACATTACCAGCTACATTTCACTGATTTATACATCCATCCATTGTCTACACCTGCTTATTCACACAGGGTCGTGCATATCTCCAGCAGTCATGAGGTTAGAGGTGGGGTTGCCAGTCTGTCACAGAGCAACACAGAGACACATGCACACATTACTGCTAAGGGCAATTTAGTGTAACCAATTAACCTAACACTCATGTTTTTTGGGCTGTGGGAGGAGCACCAGGAGAGAATCCACACATGCAGCTCTGGGATTTGAACCCAGGACATTCTTTCTGCAAGGCAACAGTGCTAACAACTGCACCATGCAACCTTCAGTGAAAATTCCACAGATGAATCATTGTACCAACACTGGCCGAGTCACTGATGAAGAAAATTATATCAGACCAGTTTTCATTATTTATCAATATCAAAGCAAAGTCCTGAAAACAGTTACTATAACAATCTATCCATCTAGTAAGGTATAACCCAAAGGTCTCCTGAGCAACACTCTCCTCCTCGTTCTGGGGGATCCCAAAGCAAAAAGTCCTTCCAGTTCTCTGGCTCTGGCCTGTAGTTCCCTACCCATGGAACGTGACCAGAAAACCAGGAGAAATTCTAATCAGATGTCTGAACCTCCTTAACTGACTCCTTATGATAAAATAATTTTTTTTCTTCTCCAAACAATCACTAGTTTAACATGCTGGAGAGGTTTGAGATGAGGGGTTGTTTACCAGTGCTTCGGCTACTGTTGCAGTCTCCTGTGGCAAATTGGCCTCAGGGTAGTTTCAGACTAATAGTGGTTAAGTGATGTTGATGATTAGCAGATCAGGACATCCTCCTGGAGCTAGCCTTGGGTAAGCTTGTGTGTTCACCCGCGGTGAAGGCGGGGGCCTGGCCATGCCGATTCCCACCATCATAATCTGGCTTTATTGGAAGGTTAACTTTAATATTTGTCAAAAATCAATCAGTGATTAATGTTTGCCACAGCTAATCCCACAACTAATTCCAGAACTTTTAAAGATATGACTCAGGATGAGATTTTTAAACTTCTGCTTTTCTAACTTTCTGTGGTGGCTAGCTGTGCTGTAGTGCTAGCTGTCGACAGCTTAAAACATCTGTTTTGTTTTCGCTGTATTCGCATTTCGCCTCTATGCCAGTGCAGTATTTTTTGTTAGTATCTTATTTTTTATGTAAAAAATGTAAAATAAATAGGTGCTAAACTTTTCCAAAACGTTTGAAGCAATTGCAGTTTTAAACAGCTACGTTTCTTTCCTACTATAGCAGCTAGCTGTGCTACAGTGTTAATGCTATCATTGGGATTTAGTGTCAGCAATGTTCTTTTTACATTTGGTCCATACATCAATAAATGCCTTAAGAACAATTTCAACAATGTAAGCAATGGAAATATTGAACCACTTCCTTTATAATATTCCGTAACAGCTATCAGTGCTTCAATGCTAATGTTAGCTTAGTTTAAACAGGAAAAAGCAGCAAATTGGTTTAAGCTGTCTTATTTTTTATATTATATTATATTATTATATATATTATATATAATAATATATATATTATATTATAACTTTCAAAATAACAACGTAAAATGGGAGGTATGATATATTGATTAAACATTTAAACTGCAATATGGTGCTAGTATGGAACAGTAGTAATATTGGCAGTGGCAAATGCATTGTGCTTTTTGAAAAAAATTTATCTTTTTTTTTTCTTGTTTCAGGTTCATCTGGCATCCCAATAAACCCTGGAGCCAAGGGGTCAAAGGTCTCTCACTAAAAAAACGCATCTGTCCCTCTCATCCCTGCACCCCACTTCACCCTGTTCCCCAACCCCTAATCCACACATTCTTACCCCATCTTCAATCTGTTCCACCTAGTTTCCCTCACAAATTTCCCTCACATCCTGAGATAAAACCCCTCCCAACAAACAAGATATACTAGGAGCTGTACTTTTCATGACGAGAAAGAAGCTCTTCAGCAGACCATCCTAGACATCTCCTGTGATAACTCCTCTCACTCCCAGGCCTCACGATGATGTGCGAGGTGATGCCCACCATCTCAGAGGATGGGCGCGGAGGAGGAGGGGGTGGCTCGTCCTCTCCGGCGAGTGGCGCAGGAGGGATGGGTGGTGGGATGGGAGTCTATGGAAGCCGAGATCCTCGCAGTGGTGGCGGTGGTGGAGGAGGAGGTGATGAAGGGGGAAGCACGGGCAACTTGGAGTCGTTGATGGTGAACATGCTGACGGAGAGGGAGAGGCTGCTGGAGAGCCTGAGGGAGACGCAGGAAAGTCTTGGGACGGCACACCTTCGCCTGCGAGAGCTGGGCCACGAGAAGGAGTCCCTGCAGAGGCAGCTGTCTATCGCCTTGCCACAGGTACAGGCACTCAGGGGGAATTTACTTTAATCGGTAGTATGGCCCACATACAGTGTGCCAGAGTGCCTACATCCCAGAATATACAGTACTGAAAAAAGTATTTACCTCCTTACAGAGGTCTTCTGTTTTTGCTTTTTCTGTCACACTTAAGTGTTTCAGATCATCAGACAAAGTTTTATAGCAGACAAATTGGCTGATCCACACATGGTGGCAACAACTGCCATTAAGCATTTGCGATAACCGGCAATGGATCTATTACATCTCTGTGGAGAAAAACTCAATTCAGTCACATTGGAGGGTTTTTAAACATGAACAGCCTGTTTAAGGTCTGGCTGCAGGATCTCAATTGGATTTAATTCTAGAATTTGACTGGGGCTTTCCCAAACCTTCTCTTTTTTTGCTTTGAGTCATTCAGAGATGAACATGGTGTGGTTTTGATCAATGCTCTGCAGCGCAACCCAAGTGTGCTTGATCTTAAGGTTACTCATGGCAGGACGGTCTCATTAAGGTGTTCTTGGTAGATAGAAGATTTCATGATTCCATCAATTACGGCATGTCATACGGGTCCTGAATTAGCAAAGTAGCCAAAGACTCTCACACTACAAAGTCCATGTTTGACTGTTGGTATGGTGTTCTTTTTCTGAAATGCAATGTTTTAAAAGATCCACATTGGTCTCGTCAGTCCACAGAATATTTTCCCAGAAGTCTTCAGAATCATAAAGATGTTTTTGGTAAATGTGACACGGCCCTTTGTGGGGTTTGTTTGGTCAGCAGTGGTTTTGGCCCTGAAACTCTCCCATGGACGCCATTTTTGCCCAGTCTCTTTCTGACTGAATAATGAACACGCTGACCTTAACTGAGGCTAGCGAGGCCTGCAGAGCTGTAGACGTAATTCTTGGTTCTGTATGATCTCCTGGATGAGATGCTGAGGTGGTCTTTTGTAAACTGGCCACTCCTGGAAAGGTTTACCACTGTTCCATATTAATGGTACCACTGTTCAGTGTTCTCTGGATAATGGCTCTCTCTCTGGCTCTCACTGTGGTTTGCTGGAGTCCCAAAGCTTTAGAAATGGCTTTGTAACTGTTTCTAGACTGACAGATGTCAGCGACTTTGTTTCTTTGATATGGACATAATGTGTTGCTTTTGAAATCGTTTAGCCAACTTCCTGCTGTCAGACAGGTTCTACGTTAGTGATTTCAATGATTTCTTGATTTGGCCTGGTAGTAATGAGGCCTATTGAAATTTAAATCCATTTTCCAAAACAGGTAATTAGGGCAGAGTTGGTTTGGATAACTTGTTTTCCCGTAAAAAATAAAAATTATAATTTGAAAATTTTGTTTGATATTAAAATAGTTGATGATCTGAAACAACAATTCAAGAACATTTTAAAAGATTACAAGAGTGTAAAGTGTAAAGAAATGAGTGATGACTCAAAACTATTGCACAGTACTGTAGATGTTTCTTTTCTTTATATGGTTGCTCAGACAAGTTCTTCACAGAGCTGGTCGTCCAGTGTTAGTTTTGCTTCTGTGCTCATTTCAAGACAAAATAAGGACATAATGTTCTGCAAGCATGGAACATACAATATTTAATGTCAGGATTTAAACTTTATGTTGTTTTACCAAAGCAGTTTAACAAAGTATTACTAACTATTACTTTAAAAGCACATCCAGGTGACAAGTTTCTGTCTCATTCAGTTGACCTGATGCTTTCAGTTTAAAGTAGCAGTTTAACTAACAGAATAAAGATGTGTGCAGATGACAGAAACATGTAAAATCAAAACAATATCTCAGCTTCACTTGAAGGTAGATGTTTAGTGCCCTTGTGTCTGAAGGACTGATTCTGTGTTGAATTATTGATGCATCAACCTGTAATCAGGATGTTATTATTGCAGCTGGTCCGGGTGGCTCTGGGTCGGTCTGGTCTGCGGTACCATAGAGGCATTAAAACTATAATAACAATAATAAAAACATTTTTAATGCAGAAATGTGGGCTGAATGAATGAAAAGTATGTTTAATACCTGCTTAATTTCTTATTTTTATATCTTGTTTCTTCTTGGATGAAGAAACTGAGAAATTATAAAAAATACAAACATGACAGAATATTTTATTACCAAAACTAGCAAGGCATCACTATCTGTAAAAAACAACAGATGTTTCAGATGTTTCAATAACAAACTGGGGCCACCCAGAACCGTAAGATATGCCAATATTATCCCACATTCCAGAGCTAATCAGGTTCTAACTCCACCCGTCACAGAAGGACTCATCTCTATTTTCTGGCAGGAGTCTGATGCCTCAGGCCGTGATGATTACTCCTCATTGTTTGCACCTTTTTCTTATTTTTTTCCTCTGTCGCTCCACCTGAGTGATCAAAATAACTGGTGCCGAGGTGCTCCAACACAGAGTGACTGGACATAAAAGGGCCATATTACCTCACGAAGAGCATAGCAATACACACAAACACACTTACACACTCATGCAGATGGAGGAAAACATGGATTGGTGTGATACACAGATGAGTTCAGTGAGTTTGTCTGTGTGCAGTACAAGCTGCCAAGACAGGAAAACAGGAGAGAGTGATGGAGAGAGAAATACAGCGAGAAGACAAAATAACTGAGTGATAAGAAACAAAATCAAACCCAAAATGGGTGGGATTAAGATGCATGAAAGCTGTATAACTTGTGTTTCTGAACAAAAAGATTGTGACAAGAGAAGAGAGGAAAGTGGCTGGTTTCTGTGGTCTATCTCACACCATCTTTCCCATGAATTATCCCAGTGTTATAATATCCTTTGGGCCCAGAACATGCCATCTGCACACAGTGATTTCCTCCCTTCTTTTCAAACGCTTCTCTTCCTCTCATTCCTCTCCCGTATCTCAGCCCAGCGAGGCCTGACATGGACTGTACACTCTGTACTTTTTAAATGCATTTTGGCTGGAAGAGG